CTGAATCAGTTTGATGATGATTTATCAGGTGCTACGTATTTGCTCTTGTTGCTGAATCAGTTTGATGATGATTTATCAGGTGCTACGTATTTGCTTTTGTTGCTGAATCAGTTTGATGATGATTTATCAGGTGCTACGTATTTGCTTTTGTTGCTGAATCAGTTTGATGATGATTTATCAGGTGCTTGAGGATGGTGTTCTAGATCCAGAAACAACAGTGGTGTCTATATTCCAACAGTGATTTTTCTTGATTATATTAGTGTGGTTTCAGATCCATAACATCGGTTGCATTCCACCAGGCACCTGTATTACATTGATTCATTATCAGGAACAAGGTTAAATGCTCAAAGTTCAGTGAATCCGCCAATTAACAAAAAAAAAAAAACAAAAAACCGCCCGATCAGCACAAAGCTACCTTATCTGCAGAATCCTTGTCCTCTTATAGGGTTGTTTTTAGAAAGTTTACAGCAACTGACACTAATTCAGTTTGATGCTTTGTGTAACAATGATCTGCCCCCTCTACAATCTATAATTTATGATTAGGTATGATCTTAGCAAACTCAAGTGTATCTTCAACTGGGATGTACTTGGTCAGCAATTCCATGGATTGTCAAGACCATTAGAAATACATAGCATGTTGGCAACCAGTAACTGATTAGCGTCAGCTAAGCATACTAACAATCTAATATGAAAGTAAATAGCTAATTACCAAGACTTTGTCTATAAATAAAAATGGGTAGTCAATAAATTTTCAAAAAATGATCAGTATTTTATAGTTTATAACTTTATATAATTTTAAGTGAAACCTTTTCTTTATCAAGGAAAAAAAAACTTTATGAAAAAAATCTGATCCCAATATATGTTAAGACAAAATGTCTCAACAAGAGTCATTTAGACAATTCTATAAACACATAACATGTATAATTTAAAAATACACTTATCTTCCAAATCTTGTAGGGTCAAAACCCAAAAATTTATTACCTATAATCTACCAATTTATTTTGGGAAACTTAAACAATAACTTCAATTCGCGTATATCATTCATTCAAATACTACAATTAATCTTATTATTTATTTTAGTTAACTATCCATATCAATCTAAGAAAACTTTCCTCTGCTTAATTTCTCCATAAATTGAGTGCTCTAGGACACTGATTGGACCAAGGACT